CCAAGCACACTATGTTCAGGGATTTGAAGCCACAGCACTGCTTGTACGGCTGCCTCATTATGTCGTGTGGGCTTGACCAATGCCTGACTGGTGCTCTACAACTTGAAAAGAGGGATTATTTCTTATTGGGACCTCAGGGATTAGACTCCTAATTTAGGCAGTGATGCATGTTTACATTACTTTTGATTGTTAGCTGGATTAAGGCTTTCAAACCTAATCAGTTTCCTGCTTGTGCTTCCAAAAGGGCAATGGCAAGTTTTCAAGAACTTGTACAGAGCTGAAAACCGACTTTTGAGCTACAAAAATAGGCTTGGAAATGCTTTCAAGGCCTCAGCTGCCAAAAAAAAGAGAAAAAAAGAGTAAAACAAAAACAAACAATAATCAGCTTTCCGCTGAGTGACAATTTATCAACAATCTGTATTGTCAAAGTTCAGATGGCATATTAGCAGGAATTTCACCACAAATATAAAACTTCCTCAGGCTTTCGGAGATGGAAAGCCATGAGTCACAGACCACCCCAAATTACTGGGAGGCACTCTGGCAGAGTGCTACTTTTGTGGTGTACCAGTTTACGCATTTCAGAAAGTTGGAGAAGTGCAAATGTTTTGTCGTCAGCCCCTTGAACATGACTGATGTGTAATTTGTGTTTACAGGGGAGGTTAAGCCAGTGGCTCTGCACTGTGGTCATATCTTAAGTCGCTCACTTAAGGCTTTCTCTGATGTTCATGGAGGAAAAAAAGACAAACAAAGTCCCTGAAACATCTGGGCCCTTCAAACATTTTGTCAAGAGAAACCAGTGGAATTTTTACATAACATGGTTCCCCGGCTGTAGGAAACGAGTGTGTACATCTGTGGTTAACCCACTTTCATTTGAGATTTCAAATGAAAGTTGGAAATTTTGGTCCTGCGAACCTCCAGTGGCCTTCAGAGCTATTTTTCATCTGTCTGTTAAAATGAAAGTTATATATGAACAGTCATTGCGCAGGCTTTTGATGTACTAAAATGGTCAAATAAACAAATAAAAAGAAAAGACAAACACTCGAAAATGTCTCTGTCGAGTCTCCTTCAAACAGCCCCGTACAAGTGCCAGCAGTTTTGCCCGGCAGACTGAGATGCTATCTTCATCTTCAGCATTGTGCAATACTTTTGACAAGAGTGGTGTTGAATATCGGCTCATCTGTCTCGAGCGAGTGTAACATGACCGCCCGTCCTGGAATGTCTCGCCAGGTTTGGCTGAGGGCCACGCTTCATAGGATGACTGCAGACCCACACGCTCTCCAATGCACCTCCCCCCCTCCGCTCTTCCCCTTTTCCAGGTCCTGTCAAGCCCAAGAGCTCTTGGAACTGCTGGCCCAGAGGTTGCCAAGGAATTCTTGCAGAGTGAGACGTCCAATCCAAAGCGTGACGCTTCAGATTCCTGGTAGAGACAAACGCCTGAGACGGATTCAGTGTTGTGAAGCACAGCTTTTGAAACAGCAGATGTTTGTGTAACTTAACTGCATGGTGATTTTGTGTCTTAAATCATGTACTGTATGGGGATGGGAGGAGGGGGATGGTCCTGGTATTTGAGGCCACGAGGGTAAGTTCGGAGGGGTTCCACCGATCTACTGAATGTAGAGCGCTCAAGTCATGGTCAATACTTCTTCATTAAGTTTTTCAGGAAGTAATAAGACACCTTAAGTCTCCATTGCTGGTAATTCATGCAGAGAATTCTCATAAGAGAGAACAATGCATTGAATTGTGTCAGTTGAAGATGCCATGAATTGCTTGACCCAGACAGAGGATACAAAACTTGAAAATAGAAAATCTTGGGCAGCAAACTCATGCCAATTTGTCCCAGCAAGTGTAGAGCAGTGGTCACCAACACTCCTCCTAGAGATCTACCAGAGATCTGCTTTCCTGAAAAGTTTAGTTACAACTTCTAATACTAATTCATCTAATTCATCTAATCAAGGACTTTTGAGGAAGTTAAATAGATGGAGCAGTTGTGGCAGACTGTGGTTGGAACTACTTCACATGATTGTAGATCTCCGGAATTAGGGCTGGTGACCACTGCTGTTGAGACATCTTAGCAGCTAGTGGACAAGTAGCTAATCATAATGTGACCACGAGAGGATCATCAAGAAGCAGCCATCATGCAAACTACATCTTAGAATATCTTAGAAACTAGAATAAAGAATAAAGTCCATAAACTTAGAGCTGCAATGACAATGAAGTGACTGAGTGTCCACTTCTCTTCCAACCTTATGAACTTAAATGATTTTTTGATTGCCTGTAGTGAATATGTTTACTTTTGGCTAATTTTAGCTGCCTATGTTTTGTACAGTTATATGCAAAAGTTGCATGAAAACTTGCACCCCTGGTCAAGTGACGTTTTGTTGATTTTCTAAGTGAAAATAAGTTAACACATCCTCTACAGAGAACACACTTCTGCACATTTTAATGCACAGTTGCTGTTAATTTGCTGAATTTTAACACATCAAGAGAAAAATAAAACATAAAATGTGGCCTGTGTAAAGTTATGGCACATTTTATACATTTTTTCCCTATTTTTACTATGTTAAACTCAAAAATGTCATATTTAAATATGTTCTATACAGATGATGTGCTATTATTTTAACTAAGAAAATCAACAAACCATGCCATTTGATGTTCTGCATACGCTGAAATACTCAACTGCTTTTCTATACAATGGGACATACATCTAACTTCACTGAAGCAACTTGGTGCAGCTGCAACTTTGAAAATTGACAGCTTTTGCAAAAAGCAGGAGTGCAAAAATACTGATTGTACTTCATTACCATACTTAAGCACTCATTTGGAAGATTTGTGCTTTTACAGTATTACTGTAGCTGAATTTGTACTTTTACTCAATCATATATTTATAGGAAAGACTTATTTTTACTCAGTATTTTAGACCTTGAAAGTAATTTTTAACTTGATATTAATGTAAAATAAATATGCAAGGACCGTTACATCCACACCACCACCTTAAGGAACTTGATCTCCACTACGGTGTTCCACAACGCATGATTCTTTGAGCTTTTTTAAATATCATACAGCAGTGGTGCCCAGCCTTATCCACAAAGGGCCAGTGTGGCTGCAGGTTTTCATTAAAAATGAGCAGGATCACACTTGATTAAGTCTCCTGCTTTGTTGGAGTGACAATTTGCAGCCACACCAATCCCTTGCATATAAGATTGGATACTCTTGTCATATAGTTTAGGTACAAAACAGAGTTGTCCAAAAAATAAGGTAATTGAATACTGCCTTGCTGGAAATTCCCAAAGTAAATCATAAGAGAAGTGTCAACAAAGCATTCTGCTTTTATATTCCTTAAATTTTTTTAATTTTTTGCCTACTCAGATCCATCAAGCCCTGCTGTTGACAGGACCGTTACTCCTCACACCACTGCTTCACACTTCAGTATGTTTAAATGTAGATTTTTTTTTGACTTGACCTAATTTTGGCTTGATTTCTTCCACTTTTCATTGAGGGGTTTGTGATTTTGACATGGTACACAATTTCACTTAAGTATAGTTTTCCCTCTAAACTTTTAAACAAGTTCTTCAAGCCAAGAACCATTTCATGCATGGTTCTTTGCATGGTGAACTGGCTGTCCAGATTGATGGAGAATGTGTTGTACACTCTTCAAAAATATGGCTCTTCAGTGGTTCTTTAGTAAAGAAGAAAGGTTCTACATAGAACCATGAACACTCAAAGAATCCTTTGCATGATTAAAGAGTTATTTGCATCATCAAAGCGTTCTTTAGATTAATGGAAAATATGCATGAATGTGTTATAGATGGTTCTGTATACAACCTTTTTGAAAATAGTTCTATGTAGCACAAAAAAGTGTTCTTCTGTTGTTACCAGCTTGACATCATAACAATAGAAGAACCCTTTTGGGTGCTATATAGAACCATTTTCAAAAAGGTTCTATATAGAACCATCTACAGCACATTCTTAATCAGTCTGAAAAACCCTTTCATGATGCAAATAACCCTTTAATTGTGCAAAAGGTTCTTTGAATGTTCATGGTTCTATATAGAACCTTTTTTCTTTATTAAAACACCCTTGAAGAACCATCTTTTTCAAGAGTGCACATGGTTATATAGAACCATTTTGAAAATGGTACTACCTAGAACCAAAAAGAGCTCTTCTGTTTTTACAAGCTTGCCATCATTACAATAGAAGAACCCTTCTGTGTGCTATGTAGAACCATTTTCAAAAAGGTTCTATATAGAACCATCTAAAGCACATTCTACATCAGTATGGAGATCCTTTTCATGATGCAAAGAACCCTTTCATCGTGCAAAGGGTTCTTTGAGTATTCATGGGTATATAGAATCTTTTTTCTTTACTAAAGAACCGTTGAAGAGCCATCTTTGTAAGAGTGTACATGGTTATACAGAACCTTTTTGAAAATGGTACTACCTAGAACCAAAAAGAGTTCTTCTGTTTTTACAAGCTTGCCATCATTGCAAAAGAAGAACCCTTCTGTGTGCTATGTAGAATCATTTTAAAAAAAGGTTCTAAAGCACATTCTCCATCAGTCTGAAGAACCCTTTCATAATCCAAAGAACCATTTAATCATGCAAAGTGTTCTTTGAGTCTTCACGGTTCTATATAGAACCTTTTTTTAACTAAAGAACCCCTGAAGAACCATCTTTTTAAGAGTTTACATGGTTATATAGAACCTTTTTTGAAAATGGTACTAGACCCAAAAAGAGCTCTTCTGTTGTTATCAGCTTGACACCATAACAATAGAAGAACCCTTTTTGCTTCTGTAAAGAACCACATACAGCACATCCTCCATCAACCATTTCACCATGCAAAGAAACATTCAAGCATGAAATGGATCAGAACCATTCCTTTTTACTAAAGAACCCATGCAGAACCATCTTTTTGAGAGCCTACTTATTTCGCTGGACTGACTGTTCTCTGTACATCGGGTGGAGAGTGGGGGAGGAGGGGTTGGCCAGCTTGCAGTGAGGGTTAAAGGAGGCGGATACGGAGCGGTGGAGGTGGAGGAGTGGGCGGGCATGGAGAAGACCCTCAACCCTCGTGGGTCTGGAGGATTTGGAGGAGTCAGCTGAGTCCCCGTCGTGATTTTCCATGTGGACGGTGACAGCTCCGCGCTGACAACTCACACAACTCAGGATTTGCCGTTGGCTCCCCCCAAACGAAGACCACTGAAGGTGAGTCTGGAAGTGTGAAGTGTGGGGCTGTTCATGAGGTCAAACTCTGGAGAAGACACAACGCCCACCCTTCCTTCCGTCCACTGCGCCTAGTGCTTCGCCTGTATTTCGACGGTTTCTTGCGTCCCTCTCAGTGTTGAGGGCGGTTGTTGCTCCAAGCGCGTCGCTTTAACGCGAGACGAATTCGAGGCAAAACTAGCGTAGAGTTTGGTGGGTTTGCTTTTGCTTTAGGCTAAACTCTCCACTACAGCGAGATGATGTACTTATGTAACATTTTCTAAGTCCGGTACTTCTCTGTGCTCTTCTAATAGAGTTGTAAGTTAAGTTAGCTCAGAATGTGGCGGTAATTTCCTTCGCTTCCCTGTGTTTACAAACACCTTTGCCTCAGGATGCGGTGTATTTTTAGCCGTTTTAGCCGCCTGGCTAGTTTTACAGCACAGCTGCCTGCTAGGAAAGAAAAACTGTGACATGTTCAACATGTTCATAGCCACGGTTTTCACATTGTCCAGTGGCCAGTCAGTGCATGTAGCCACACGTAGCCCTTCTGTGTTCGCTGTGGCTACACGTTTGAGTGTCTAGCAATGTTGTACAGATGGTCAAACAAGATAGAAGCGCCACGTTTCTCTCAGTTTACCTTACTGGCGTGTTGTCAGTTATGTCAGTTTGAGTCTAACGATGCATGGTTCTCTGCTCCATCAGGTAAATCTAGATAAAAATCTTGGCTAGCAGAACATGAGGGAGTGTGTGTGTGTAGCCTGTGTGCAAAAGAGGCCACATGAGCCAAGTGCTACCCTGAGGAACCTGAGGAAAGTGATATTGGTGTGAAATACGAGGCTAGGTGCACCTTGGCGACTCAGCAAGTTTGCCAGGATTGTGGGGACAGTGTGATAGCTGAGACCACCAACCACAGCCTCCTCACTCCTGTAGTGTATGTGTTAAACATTCATTTTAAGCAGAATTAGGAACACATTAAACTGAACAGCCATTTATGTCACAAATACTCATAGACTTTGCACGTTCAAACAGCCTCTGCCGAAATATCAGCACAGACCGGAAACAGAAACGAGAACTCCATGCTGGTTTAGATGGTCACCCGGTACGGTCCTGCTGGTTGACTAGCATACCAGCATCTAAAACAAAACATACTCTGGCTTTGCTGGTCATCAGCATAACAGCCTCTATTGCTGCTGACCTGCATACCAGCATCCAAAACACAACATGCTGGTTTTGCTGGTGCCCAGCTATGCTGGTCTATTTTCTAGCAGGGACCAGAGAGGGTTTTCTGGATTTTGGTTTAGTCCTGTGCTTTCCAACACTGAAGTTCTATTTGCTATGTAATTTAGCTCAACATGCAGCCAAAAAGTCAGCCACAGTATATCCCCCAAGGCTTTGGAGAGGAGAAATATATGGAGCGTATGTTTTGGCTCACTCCCAGCCCTCATAAGATAAGTTGGCACCCCTTTCCTCGGCAATATGTCCAGTCAGCAGATTTTCGAGATGAGATTTCAGTAGGAAAAAAAAAGGTTAGGAGGGGGTTAAGGTTTGAGGGAGGTTTTCAAACAATGGGACAGCCAAGTGCTAGTTAAGATTTTAATGGGCATGTTCAGACATACATTCTCTCTCTCTCTCTCTCTCTCTATGTTCTTTCTTTCCTTCTTTCTCTCAAGGTCTGCCTAACCATCTGTGTTTCTCTCCTCACACTTTTTATGTCCAAATAGCAATGAGTTGGCAGTGTTTCTAAACACAAGGCAATGAAGCAACACAGCAGTGCTTAATTGCTGCCTCCAGGGCAGGAGATCAATCTGATGTCAGTTCAGTTCGTAGTCTTCGGTGCCGTTTTCCGTTTAAGAAGGGGACTCGAGAGAAAACTTTATGCGTGTTATCAAACGTCTGAGTTCATGCAGCCCATTTCACTGGACTTGTTGGAAGAAGTTGCTCTTAGTTGCCAACTCTCAGACCTGTTTTCTCTAAATATTTAGGTTGGCTTCATAGGTGCTGATCTTGGATAGAAGTGTTAGGCCTGGTCCGAGAGTGTCATGACAAATTTCTGTTTGGGACAAAAGATATGCAGGCCGTGTGACATTTCACGCTGCCAACTGATACAAAACAGCTGCTTGCTCTCACCTAGTGGCCTTAAAAAAGTGCAAGAGATTGATTAGTGAGTTAGTGAGTGACTGGAGTGGGGGAGTATAGTGAGAGATATTGAGAAGGGGAAAGATTTGGACGAGTGAAGTGCTTTCCACAATAGAATTTGAGGGACTCGCATACGACTCAGTAGGCTACGTGCTGTCTGTAAATCTAGCATATTAAATGATTGGAGTGGGCAGTAAAGCAAAAATATTATGTGATACTTCAAGAAGTTTCAGGTACTGCACTGCACTAAATGCTGTTTAGCAGGACTATTTATGATTTCATTGTCATGGATCATGCAGTTGGCCAGTGTTCTTTAAAGCTGCAGTAGGTAACCTGTATAAAAATAATTTTGTCATATTTATTAAAACTGTCCTGATGTTCATTATGACAGTAGTACATGAGACAGATAATCTGTGAAAAAAGATCAGGCTCCTGGCTCCACGTAATGCTCCTAATGCAATTTGCAAGAATCCATTGTGACCAAATCAACTCACTTGGACAAGCTTAGTGTCTTAGTGTCAATGGTGAATAAACAACACCAGAGGATCAAGTTTCTAGCTAAAGTATAGTTGGGTGAAAGTCACTGCACAGCGTGTTATATCTAGCTGTGTGGAGTTTAGTTCCTATCTTTCTTACCGGTATGTACTCCATGCTGTTTACTTGGCCTCTTCAGTTGCCATAGTTGCTAGCCTACGTGTGCATGGCAGCCTTCTCTGCTGGGAGGGGCTTTAGAGGCAGGGCTGGGGCGCAGCAGAGAGGTTGGGACCTGGAAGTTGTACTCATTCAAATTTTCAAGCTAAATCCGCTCTCTTCTCAGTCCTACTTACTGTGGCTTTAAGTACTTACAATATCCACAATATGCTCGGAAAAGAATAATGTGACAATTTATCACACTAATGATAAATATAATCACTGACCTCTATTAAATTATATCTCATAGCTAACATTGAGATGGCATCATTAGATTTTTTTTGTTTTACAAAGTCTTCTTAAAAAGGTTGAAATTATTAGCCTTTTTATCTTTATAAAATATTCATTCAGCCCTAATGGTGTAATCTCAGATTTTTTTTCAAGCAGTTTTTCCTAGGAGGTACTACAATACAGTCACTGTTGTTCCATTCATACATTATTGAAAGATACCTGGCAGTGATTGTGCAATGTGGGATGCTGTTTATGACTCATTTTGTGAACAAGGGCTATGATTTGCCAATGAGCTGTCAGCTTACCTCGCAAAGCCTTCTTGTGCTGACCGTACAATGACTTAGTCTAATGTAATGACTTAGTTTAATGTAAACGCTTGGCATGTTTTATACAACATTTTATACAACATTTTACTAAACATACTGATTATGGATGTCAGCTGGGCTGAGAATTGAAATTCAGATTTCTCCTTGATTTTTGCTTTGACAATGACTTTTCTATAAAATCTTCCACACCAATCAAATCCCATTGTCATTGTAGATTATAGATTAAACAGAGAGTGCCTGTGTGAGTGACAGCATACGCAGACTGAGTGCAAAACTTTAACTGGCGTGGTTGGCTGCAGTGTGCAGCAATTAACCTTGTGGCTTATTTTGCTATCTTGTGTATGTATTGACATAATAAAGGTTATGTTATGTTCAGTTGTTAAATAGTGGATGTTTGCAAAGTACTCCCATGCATTTTAAAACTACTCAAATCTAAAATAGATAGTTGGTGTTTAGTTTATTTACAGTCAGCAGTTGTTGGTAGCCAACATGTGTGGTAATGTTATGAAATCTTGGCCTGGATCATTCTAGGAGTTGCAGCTGAGGTAGTTTGAGGTAGTTGCGAATGGATCCGAACACCACTCAACACTTCATAGTGGTGTTAATAACAATCCAGGGACAGTTCTGGAGAATCTAGAGAATCATACTTTTGAAGTTTTAAAATCACCATCAGGTCAATTCAAAGTGAGATATTACTGACTATTTTAAAGTGTGATGTTTTTACATCACTGTAAAACAGAAGCAATACTGTATTTGTGTTTGTGTCTGGATACATTGTGACATGTACTATACCTGAAGTCTTCTCCTCCAGAGGTGCAAATGTTGAGGTTGGGCACAGCCTTGCCACCAGTGGTCAGATTTAAATGCATACCTGGATGATGTACTTGAGCTGCTGAAAAAGTGCACTGAATGTTGCACTATTTTCACTCTGCGGCTGCAGGCTGCCATCAGGGTTGCCTGATTGATTGCTTTTATAGTTTTAGACAAAAAATGTTCAAAATTTCTTAATGAACTGCATGAAAAGGCACTAAAAAAAAAGTACAAATATCAAAAAGTCAAACATTTTAACTGACATGATGTCAGTAATAAGCTGCTGAGGGGGTAAAACTGCTTATTCAAATTGCATTTGAAAATTCACAAATAAATGTACACTGTGGCTGTATGGCACTGTCAGTCATTTGTGTTTATTGGAATGAAGGACCCAAAGCTTTTAATGTAATTTTTAGATATTTTTAGACTCCTTGTAGGCTACAACATCTGAGAAATGCCTGGACAATGAAACTACTAATAATTCTAATAAAATAATAAAGGTCATTTAAATCATTTGATTTGTATGTGTAACTCCCACCACTTGTAGGTGTTTTCTTTTGTGTCACAAACTTGTCAGTATTTTCTGGAAGAAGTAGCATCACCGAGTATGGAGGAAAAAAAAACCCTCAAAAATGGTGTGCTTTCACAACTAGAAGTCACTGTGTAAAGCCTGAAACAATCATTTGAAATACAGAGGTACTCGGACGGATTTGGCAGGGAGTTGGGTTGGAGGTTAGGGAACCAGCCCTGTGACTGGAAGGACGCCAGTTTGATGCCCTGAGCTGACAGTAAGTGACTGAAGTGCCCTTG